CCACAGAGAACAAAAAGGTACACACACAATGTAAAAAATAAATAAATAAATAAAAAAATAAAACGTATCCTGTAACAACACACAAGCCCACACGGTCTTTGAGACGTTTATATATTTCTATGAGGCACAATACACTGCATACGTTGTTGACCTTTGTGTACCCCTAGCGGTTTGTTTTGTTTTCAGATATGCACGCTATATTGAAAGGGTAACCACCAATAGGAAGCTGCAGACACACACACACAGATCTTTTCTGCTTCTGAAGAACACATACAGACAGAGTGCAACAGAATAGGGTTGTTGTTTATTTTTGTACTGTATTTATTTACGTTGTTTATGGTCATTAACGAGACGTTAGCCTTGAATTGCTAGCTGCGGCTAATGGCTACTAATAACACGCCAATACTAATCAAGTGCATATCCAACTCCGCCCACATCCAAGTCGGCCATTTTGATTACATCACCAATAAAAAGATCCCAGGCAAGAAATAGCCTCATGGCAATATAGATATTATTTAAAAATAGTGAAATTAATCTTTCAAACACTTAATTCAACTCTATCCATAATATTATGTTAAAATAGTGGATGCTAAATAGGTTTGTACAATAAGTCCAAACAAGTTTAACCAAAAAAATATTTATTTCTCACAATTATGAATGGTGGAGGGTTAGGGTTAGGGTCAGGGCTAGAGTTAAGGTTAGGGTTAGGGTCATTAATGGGGCCACCATAACATCAGTAACAGGTCAGTTTGAAATGAAAGACACTAACCTGTCGAAATTCAGTTAAATTTTGGGGTCTTTGTGGTATTGAAAATGGTATCGAGTACAGAGTATTTTTCCTGAGTATCGATATCGAGTTGAAATTGTTAGTATCGTGACAACCCTAGTTGTGACAAGTGCAAACTAAGTGTTGCTTCCAGTGCAAATGGAATCTTCAACGGCTAAAACTAAACGGCAATTTCACAACTCGCACGTGAAGTCGACGAAACATAGAAAATTGCTTCATGCGAGGTTTTGTGGAAATGTCGGTTTGGAGGGTGTGATGAACAGGCAGAGTGGTGAGAAAGTTTAAGGCCTGCTCTCACTTGAAGTGAAAAAGAAGAATATCTAAAAGACAATTGGATGAGAATCAAAAATGAGGCACTTGGTAGACCTTAAATTCACTACAGGGTTACGTATCTCATGCGGCCTCTGAATGCTAAAAGTAAAAACAGTATTACAAAAGAGGGTTTTTTCAGGAACAACCCGCTGAGAAGTGGTCAATAACACCTACCGTAAGCTACAAAGATGAATGGCTAAGTGGGTGTTCCATACAGTATGATTCAAAACATCTCCTGAAAATTGTTCCTATTTTTCGGGATGTAACTGCTTCCTAAAATAATGAGTTCAGTTTTGTAGGGGGGCTGCGTTTGGCTTGATTAAAGTAAACAGACTCTTTGCCTCCTGTAATGCACTCGGTCCAAATAAAAAGACTAAAAGCAACAGCAAATATCGTATTCGGTGTTAGCAAATAGCTAATAAAACACCCGTCCCTTATTTAAAAAGCGTATAAAGAGATAAATACCTGTGCTCTTTGATGGTGGAGGTGGTTTCCTTGGTTTCTAACAGGAAAAGAAAAAAGAAAGGAGCAGGAAAAAAAAACAGGTCAGATGTGACTAAATGTGCTAGGAAGAAAAAAGACAAAACTTGGTCAAATTAAAGAATCTTATTTCGTATTCCATTAGTTTCAAAGTAATACAAAGTCAGCTTCTCTAGTGTGGAACTACTAAGACACGCAAGTTCTTTTATGTATATGACAGCGTGAATACATTTTTTTCCCATCCCATTTCATATTCCAAATAAAATTATGATTATAAGTCTGCATATGCTTTGTTCAGCTTTGAAAGGATTTCACCTCTTATACAGAGTAACTAGCAGAGATTGCTCATGAGAACTGTATCTCAGAAAAGTACCACCATTTCACACTCCAAAGCTTCTGTTTTTGAATGCCCTTTTTCTTTTTTCTTTTTTTACAGCACGCATTTCATGATTCTAGAATGTTAGTTTATATACATTCATACACACATTCTATTTATTCATTCATACATATCACATCTAAACTGCCCTTTTTGTTTGGTTTTGTCCCGATTTGCCCTGTTGTTTTGTTTTATTTTACTGTTATTTTCTGTAATTGTAAAGCTTCATTTGGTTCTTGAAACATGCTGTATACATGTCAATAATGTCAATCATTATTATACATTTATACACATATATTCTACTTATTTATTTATTCATACATACATATAAATGTGCGTTTCTTTCAGAAACAGTATTTGAATTGTTTTTTTAATCTCATTTTACTGCCTTAATGACTTAAGCTAAGCAAATTAAACCCACTCTGTCAGATTTTGTAATTTACTTTTCTCAGACGATTATGACATCGAATTACCTGGGAATGTCCACCATCAAAGCGAGATTTCCGCTTTTTATACGGTGACGGATTCAATATGAAGTTATCACGGCCCTGCCAGAGAAAAAGATTTCTTCTGACAGTTGTCAGTGATTGGGAGTTGGGTGCCGGGGCATTTTGACAGCTGTAGCATCCGATTAAAGCTGAAATGTTCTGGTGGCTGATTCCACGTCTTAAGAGAGTTACCTCTGTTGTTTTTGAGGAGCTGTAACCTTAAGAAAAGGACAGAATAGGCCAATGTTTGTCCCTTCAAAAGATGGGGCGAGGCATATAGTCCCTGACCTATATAATTAGTTTGTTTATCTGCCAGCAGTCATGGCCTTTTGAACATTTTTTGAAAAAACTGAAAACTGGAGGACTAAATGAGTTAAAATTTTAGCTCTGAATAACGACACAAAAAATGTTCTGTCCTGAGATAAAGAGAAAAAAACGGAAGACAATTAAAAAACAATCATTTCATCTAAAAGAGCTGGGGTTGTCACACAGTTCTTTTTTTTTTTTTTTACAAGGTGGCGTTTTTATTTCAAATGTATGATGGGCATAGAGGGAATCGGTTTTGAGTATTTTAGCACCTCCTACTGGCCAAGAAAATGAGGAAAATCTAAGGGCTCTGAAAAAAGAAGTTTGACCAACAGTTTATATAATATAATTCAGTCAAAAAAATTGATTTATTATTATCTATGAAAGAAAAACTGTTCTAAAAAATGCCTATATTAATATTAAGATTTGTTGAGTGTAACAATTCTTGATCAGACTGCTGCTTTTGACCTTTTAAGACAGTTTTTGAATAAATAATTATATCAAATGGTGTGATGTTTAACATCTTTACGCAAAAACATCTGAAATCCACTAATGTAGCATAAACCCTGCAGATCTTTTCTCCCATACACAGTGTTAACTATTCCACGCAATTAAAAAGTAGAGATATCAGCATCTGCGCTGCTTTGTATAATCCTTCATCACTGGGTCCCAGCTTCATGATCTCTGTGAGCTGATGTCTTCAGAATGATTCGTGCCGAAATTAATATCAATGTACGCCTGAATTAACCCACTGTCATTTTTAAGCATGCTCAACTGCAAAATGTAACACGACAAGCTAATTTCGTCTCTAAATGGGACGGAGGAGAAAAGGGACGTATTGGACAGCTGAAAAGCATGCATAACTCGCGGTTTTTGTTTTTAAAAAAAGGCCCTTTGGTGATTGTAATGTTTACAGTTGAAAAAAAATAGATAATAAAAGACAGAAAGATTGTCGTCTGCCATTTATGTAACATATGGAAAAGGGTCAAATTGGACACATTTCTTATATTTTCATACAAATATATCCCAATATCTATTCATGTTGCAAGAAAACAGTGCTGAATCATATTATAAAACTGATTTATACACACACACACACACGTATATATCTATTTACACCCACATATATATATATAAATATATATATATTTGCATAAACACTCACTGCCTCACATTTGGGCTAAAGCCAGAAAGGTTAATCTATTCTAGAGTTATCTGTATATATAGAAAAACATATCTACAAGTAGGTCAGTCAGTCTCAACACCCACATCTTCATCTTGACATTTTCTGTAATTGAGCCCTGACATTTTGTCTATAATTTTATTTATTTTTTTGTATTGTACAGTATATTGTTATAGTTTTAAAATCAGTGGTTTGGTGTTTAAAGCGCTTTGGTTAACAGTTTTTCTTAAATGTGGAATAAAAATAAGGCTAAGGTTGGACCGGGTAGTAGAGCAATGTACTCTAAGTCTAAGTATCCTGTGAAAGATTTTTATTTACTCAAAACAGAGTCATGATGAGGAAAGAAAAAAAAGAAAAGAAAAAAAAACATGTGCTCTTCGATTCATCCACTTCTCAGAATAAGTCATGAATCCCACGAACCGACAAGTCACTCGTATGAAAACATTCTCTTAGACTTCCAGGCCTGCAGAACATAAGAGCCTCTGTTATCAATTTCTTACATTCAGAATCTACTCAATTCTGCTCTCTTTCCTTACTTCAGTGAGTACCCTCAATACCCCTCAGTACCCTACTTTCATAGACTTAAACAAGCTTATTTTCTTGTATTACATGCTGGATTTACATTTATTTTTTATTCCATGTCTCATTGTGTGTGTGTGTGTGCTGTCATAAATCAAAAGGACACAGTATCAATTACAGAGTAGAAAGAACTTTCTATTTGAAAATCAAGTGACAAAAGAGTCATGGGACAGTGCACCACCTTTCAATTTGAGGGTTGTAACAAGACATGGTTCTTGCCAGGTCTTAAAATTCACAAAATTACAGCCTCATATCAACATGACTCATCACACTGATTCAAACCCGGCCAAAATGCAAGTCCTCCTTTAATGTCTCCAAAAGATCCAACAGAGTGGGGACAGCTTTAATGGCCTGTGTCTGATTCACTGTGAAAAGCACAGGTTTGACATTAGCTTTACTCATTAGGGGCGAGGATACTATATCAATCCCAGTATCAATAGTATCAATGTTGATAGCACCCCCACACTTCTCCAAAAACCAAGATTCCCAGTATCCTCCATCCCCTTCAATGCTCCCCATGTCTGACATTTTCATTTTTGAAATCCAAGCTTATGTGGACCCGATGAAACCTCGACTGATAATCTATGTTTATTGCTTTACTATTAGGTTTCAGCTTATCTGAAAAAGCATAATCAGCTAATAAATTAATAAAATACTTCACGGCTGATGAGAATAATATTTCCGAAGTGAGAATTTTGGCTTTCAAATCCCTGTGTGAAATAAACAGGCACGATTTTAAGTTAATGTTTGGTTGAAATGAAGACAATGGTGAACAATTGTGATGAACGCTTCATATTTAAAGGCTCAACAAGATATTTTTGGTCCTAGGTTTGTGACTAAAGACTGACAAATGTATGCTTCCAAGCAGAAAAATGGATTCACCCATCCATTTTTCTATACTGCTTATTCCCAACTGGTTTGTGGGGCACCGGGAACCTATCCCAGATTACAATAGGCACACTGGACATATCGCTAGACCATCGCTAGGCCACACAGAAACAACACCACACACACTCACATTCACTCCTAGGGGCAATTTGGTGTGTCCAATTAACCGAACATGCACGTTTTTTGGACAGTGGGAGGAAGCAGACACAGGGAGAACATGCAAACCTCACACAGAACGGTACCGGTTCCCGCAGGGACTCGAACTGGGAACCCTCTTGCTGTGAGGTGACGGCGAAGTAGGGTTGTCAAAAGTATCGATACTCGAAAAAGTATCGATACTAAAATGTTGTATCCGGATACGATACTCATTTTCAAAAGTATCGATACCACCGCCCCTTATCTCTGATTTATTTATGTATTTATTTACGTTGTTTATGATCATTAACAAGACGTTAGCCTTGCTAGCTGCGGCTAATGGCTAATAATAACATGCTACCCTTAATCAAGTACATATCTAACTCCGCCCACATCCAAATCGGACATTTTGATTAGGTCACCAATAGGAAGATCCCAGGCAAGAAAATCCTAATTTCCTCATGGCAATATAGACATTCATTTAAAAATAGTGAAAGTAATCTAGCAAACACTGAATTAAACTTTATCCATAATATTATGTTAAAATAGTGGATGTTACATAGGTTTGTACAATAAGTCCAAACAAGTTTAACCAAAAAATATTTATTTCTCACTATTATGAAGGCTGGAGGGATAGGGTTAGGGTTAGGGTTAGGGTCATTAATGTGTGCCACCAGTCACGATAACATCAGTAACAGGTCAGTTTGAAATGAAAGACACAATTCAGTTCAAGTTTAGGGTCTTTGTTTTTATCCTTGTGGTATCGAAAATGGTATCGAGTATCGAGTATTTTCCTGAGTATCGGTATCGAGTTGAAAATTTTAGTATCGTGACAACCCTACGGCGAAGTAGAAAAAAAAAGAAAAATTCTTTGTTTTTGTGCTAAAGTAGGAGGTAAAAAGCATCATTCTCCTCTTACCTCCTCTGATTCTTGCTTTGGGGAAGATTTCACTGATCCTCTCGATGCTGGAGGCTTAAACATGAAAAGAAGAACAAAGATATACAACAGCAGTTATCGGATTTAATCGGCCCTCTGATCTTAGCGTGCACACAAACGGAGTGCTTGCTCATTGTGCTAAAGCACTCAGAACTTGTACTGTAGTCCACTTTTAAAATTGGAACCTCCAATCAAATGTCAGACCTCTCTTTTTCTGTCAATGTACATATACGCACACATTTTGAATAATTACCATCCGTCCGTATGCTGACTACTGAAGGAAGCCTGGAAAAAAAAAATAATAATCCTAAAGGCGCATCCAGTGGAAAAGCACTCCTTGAGTAAACTATTGATCACCATAGCAACCCCAGGCTCGGGCAGGCAGAGGGAATCCCCTGTGACATGCACAACACTAACCTCACCTGTGCTCACACAGCAGAATAGAGTTTTTCTAACCACCGCAGCAACCTACACAGCCATTGTTTCGTTTATCTTCTGTCCAACTTGTTTTTGAGCAGTTATTTAAATCGATTAGGCTCCAAATCATTTAAATCTGAAGAAACAAGTTAAATGTGAATAGCTGCAAAATCAAAGGGGGGCCTACTATTGTGGATGAGGGGGATTCCTGCATCTCATTCATTTATTTGGATTGTGTAAATGGGATAAAGTTTTAAGATTATGATCAAAATTCCATCCAGTTCCCTCACTTGAAATAAAGGTGCAAAGTATTTACAGTTTGTTGAATACATCTATGACGTCATCTTATTTTGAAATACGCTGACTTACATACAAACCCAATAACAGTACATATACACATACATTTTTTTTAAAAAACTTCAACTTCTTCTTGGATTAAAGCTCATTTCTATTCATCTGTATGTTAAAGAACACCAGTTAAAAATATATAGTATTTCTTCATGAGATTCTTTTTAAAGTCTGACCTTTTTTCTGTGTTATCAAGGACTCCAGGTACTTATGGGTACATTCATTGTAAAAAAAAAAAAGGGTTAGCACTGGGTCAGTGTTGTTAGTTTTAATCTCACCTCTTTCTCTGCTTCGGTCACCAAGGCCACAAAATTGTTGGGGAAGACACCTTCCCTCCCTCCGACCTCACCTCTCCACCAGCCAGGCTCTCCTGTGTCCTGTTAAAAATAAAATAAAAAAGAAATAAAGATTCAACATATATTGGAAAAAGTTTTTCTTCACCAACAGAATTTGTAATGCACTGCGGCATCATTTTTTTATTCACAAAAATAAACTAAAAAAAACATCAACTTCCTATAGTTTCCACTAGATGGTGTCAGTTTCCTGTAAAACTGGATCAGGACGCTGAAGAAGTCATGTCTGAGTCACGAAATAAACAATGAAATTACAGCCCTTTAGGGCAGAAAACTTCAATTTTACCACCACTTGGACCTGTTTGAACTGTCACCAAGCAACTGACCAGGCTACCATGAAAAAGAGTTAAATACAGCCATTTATCATCTTACTCTTCTTGGATTAAAGCTAATTTCTATTTATCTGTATGTTAAAGAACACCAGTTAAAAATACATAGTATTTCTTCATGAGATTCTTTTTAAAGTCTGAATTTTTTCTGTGTTATCAAGAACTCCAGGTACTTATGGCTACATTCATTGTATGTATACATTGTCCATTTACTACTTTTATACAGTAGAAAATCTCTACGTCTTTTCTTGGCGTCTTATTATGGCAACTTATAGTGTCATAAAAGTGTTTCAAGAAGGAAACCACCAATCCACAACCATCACTGTTCACAGTGCTAAGAATAGTTTGTCTCCGCCTGAGAGAGAGGAAGTTTGAGGTAAGTTTGCTCATCTTTTACCCGAGTTGTTCTTTAAACTAAACATGGTCAAGGTAAACTTAGCTTTGAGTGTAATAGTGAGTTTCTTTTCAGAGCTCTTAAAATCTCCAGTGACGTGGAAATGGAATTTTCATTGAATAAGGATTAGGGTTATGCAGCTCATGAAAAGTTGACACCACTTCTTTTCCACTCATGTTGAATTTAACTGAGGGGAGTTTGGGTGTATGTCAGCATATTGTTGCTAAAATGAGCTAAGGTAAAAGCTAAATTAATGGCTCTGTCCTAATAGAACTCAGTGTGATTTCTATTAGATGCTAAGGACAGACTCAGCAGCTTAGTACAGACCAAAGGCCCTCATTGGCTGGGGAATAACGTGACTGTCTGAAACACAACTCCTTTAGGAGACCCCGTGGCTTAAACAAAACATCCAATTCTTTTTTTTTTTTATGTGGTCATCAACGGGGTTGATGAGACTTCGCTCAAATCAACACAATGCTCCAAGAACAAGGCTGAGCAGGAATATTGTTATCGCAACATCCCTCATTATTCCGCTGTGCTTGTGTTGAATTCAAATGACATCACAGGACTTTTAGGACAGAAAAAGAGCTGAGGCATGGACATGGTCACCGCTGGCAGAGTGGTGCGCAGGAAACCGGCCTTAGGTTTAACATCAGCAAGAGGGTGGAGATGGACCTCCAGACACACCCACCCCTCCATCCCCCACAGTTCAGGTGGTGAACTCTGAAGTTTATGGGCACTACAATCACCAGCGACTTCCAGTGGGAGACACACGGGCACAAGAGAGGATGTTCTTCCTCAGACTGCTCCACAGGGGTGATCGTCTCCCCCAAGGTTCGCTCCCACTTCCACAGAGCCACCATTGAGAGTGTCCTCACCTCCTCCATCACTATTTGGTAACCTGCAATCCTCTGCCCACACCAAGAGCAGACTGGATCAGGACAGGAGCCACCTAAAAGGCCTCCAAAGTGTTCTGCGCGATGACAGGGACCCATCTCGCCTGTTCACACCCCTCCCATCAGGTCGCAGGTTCAGGTCCATCAGGACCAAAACCACCAGACACTTGAACGGTCTTTTGCCCCAGGCCACCACCCTCCTACATAGGAGCATCTCAGCCCTCCAGCCACTTCTAAAGACACAGCCACCTGAAGAACACCTGATCATAATATATTTTTCTTCTCCTGGCATCCTGTATATACTACTGAACAAGTAATTGTCACCAGATAATTGTACATATTGTAGTTACTTGCTATTATACTTCTTTGTTATTATTAAAATGTGATATTTTAATTGTCCTGTGGTGCTGGGATACCAGGTTAAATTCCTGTTGTACGTTGTAAATTTGGCCAATAACACGATTCCTGATTTCAGATTCTAATGTGAGGTAATGTCGAGTAGAGCTTAGTAGGCACAAATGGAAAAGGGCCATAATTGAAATCTACCAACTTCTTTGTTTCAATAAAATGCATAGGGGGAGAGCACATTTAATTAGGAATGACAACTAAACAAAAGGTGGCAGTGACCATTGCCACAATCTTTCCATACTTAAAAAAAAAAAAAAAGATAATTACATTTCTTCAAACCAATCCAACCAAATATTTAAGTGCATGCATACTTTGACTCAAAGGTAGTATTTGTCCATCTTTCAGGAATTAGGCGGATATGTTTACATGGATTTAATTTACATGGATGTAAATTGCCTTGACATGGTTCCCTAAATGTGATAACTGACTCTAACTCAATGATTTTATTTTGCCAACCTTGCATATTTTTGGGTCCTTTTTCAGCTGGAAGCTTACCTTGCTCAGTAAATGGACGATATCTCCCTCTTTTAGACTCAGCTCATCCTCATTCGTGGCATCATAACAAAAGGTGACTTTACAGTATTCCTTTGCTGAAATAATAGAAATACAGAATAATATTAGTATCAGTTACATTGATACCTGAATCAGAAATACTTTAATAATCCCAGAGGGAAATTACTTTGTTTCTAGCTCCATAAATAAAACAATAGCATATACATATATACTATCATAACATAAATGAGAATATAAAAGCACAAGCATCCTTTAGCATCAACAACATTCAGTGGACTATTCCAGAAAGCAATTTAAACCTGCTCAACCACCTGGAAGCGTGTTCAATTCAGCAGAACTTCAAGTCATATTCTTACAGTGCCAGGTGAAAATAACTGGTAAAGCTTATATTACAGCAGTATATGAGGTGATCGTACAGGATATTCTTGCGAAGCCAATTATCACGTAGCTTTTACAAGTGAAAATGGAAATTTTTAAAATAAATCAACATGTATTTGTTTAGATTTTAGGTTTGAAACTATGTCATAATGAATTCCCCCAAATGATGCAACATGTACACTTCTTTGCCTTTGGATATCTGTTAGCATTTTGGTATAAAGTCTATAAACTTTTCACGACATAAATAAAGAGGCAAGTTAATCAGTTCAACAGAGCTTCATCCATCCTGATTACATTTTGATGGAAATGTTTGGGTGATCTCAAACTATGTAGCGAGGTGTCCTGGAGACCGTCTTCTTTCATTTGCAGCACTGTTGAATTATTTGATTCCTCTCGGCCTCCAACGCTTTGGCTTTAGCCAACTGAGCGGTCAGTGTTGAGGCTTTGGGTTAATTTTGACTAATGAATGTAAAAAAAACAAAAAAAAAACAGTCTGGAATGCCTTGTAACCTCCAGCATATTGATGTATATCAACATATCATGACAGAAACTCTTCTGTTCACATTTAAACTGGATTCAAGATTGAAATATCTGACTCAGGTTCATCATCTTCACGATGAATTCAGTTTGAACAGCAACAACGCAATGACATGTGACTGTAGTCACTTTTAAAGTTAAATGAAGATTTTACTACAATAATACAAAATAAAAATGAGTCTCAAATGAAGTTGTACTTTTGCCGTATCTTGTAACCAATGCCATTGACCAAACACAGCTATGACTGACACAGATAACATCCTCCAGCTAACGTGTTCAATGTGGGCTTTACCTTTTGGTTTGCTGTCTCCATCAGCTCTCTGTGAGTCTGTCATGTTGGGGTGTGCAGGCTTTGTAGCTGATGGTAATGATGGGACGGGCTAAAATGAAGCAAACCATACAGATGGGAGAGACTCATAGGACATGAGTGGACGGTTGCGTGGAGGAATCTTTGTCATTAGATAGTCTGTGTTTGAACGTGTTTTTGTTATGGACGCGGGATGAATCATGAGGTTAGCGGTCCGTTAGCATGTTACGGATGACTTAGTCCAACTCTGAAACGCAATACTTAAAAGGTAGAATGATTTCCTGTTTTTTTTTTCCCCTGTTTTTAGTGTGATAAGTTGCTGTATTTACAATAATCACTACAGAGAGTTGTTTAAACAAGACAGGTAGAAACAAAGTGTTTTTTTTAAGCTAAATGAGGATATCTGAAGCGGTGCTTAGAGGATTGAGAGAGCATGCGACACGTGGAGTGAAGAAAGGTGAAGGCGAGCAGAGTTAGTGGTCAGACAGTGCGAGGGCTGTTATGAAGAGGAAAAGAGAAGAAGGAGGAAGAGTTTCAAAACCAAGTTACTCTCCTATTCGAATTACCCAGCTTATACATTAATAGTAAAGGCCGGCATCAAATGAAAAATAACTTGGATTTAGTACGGCAGCTGAAAAACAAGAATGAATTCTTTATTTCCCATTTCCACATTTTGCTTAAAGAAAAATAAAACTTGTCAGAAGCCATGCGTGATCTGAGTGTGGTGTCCTGGGATATGCCGACAACAGCAGAATAAACTGAATTCACAACAAACATAAACTTCTTCACACGGCAGAGAGCTTATTATTAGAAAATGTATACGTTTAATTTTTTTATTTTTTTACTGTGGCTATACATAGAACCATAGAAGTAAGTCGATCCATGGTCTTATGCACCTGTGATTAACTTTTTGGAGTGAGATTGGCATAACTCTTACTTTTTCTTTTCTCTCCTGTGCTTCCGGACTGGGCAGCCGCACCCTTAGCTTGACCGAACCCTCTTTAAAGATGTCCCCAAAGCCAATTCCTCGGATCTTCTTAGGGTGAGCTATGGCTTCGTTCCCTGAGGGAGGCTGAGGTGACGTGGGTGTGCCTGTGACTTCTGTCGCGCTTCCATCTGAAACAAAGTGGGAAAGAAGCTAAGCCAGAGGGAAAACTTGCATTTTCCATATCTAAATACTGACAACTCCTCTCATATTTACAAATGTAATGTCAACTGATTAAATGCTGATATTTTGCAAATAATATAGGTATTACACTATATGGAGCAAATTCCCGGTTTTTAGTTTGACAAAGAGCTTCAAATTCTATGTCGGCTGCTGTTTTTGTGTTCCTAAAAGCATTCTGTTCTCCTGCTGTGGGGCAGTGAGTAAAATAGCACTTAAAAGAAGAACTATTATCTAAATTCTTAATGAAAATGTGTGATGATGACAATCACTGCAAATTTTAAGTCTTCATTAAAAATTGGACAGGACATGGAAGCGCAAATCAAATAAGTGTTTTTTATCTTTCATTTCAGGCTAAAGTTACAAAATAAACCTTTTTTTTAATAAAATATTCCTTTATATAATCACAACTCAAGTACAATATAGTTAGATATTCTGTATATGTAGACGTTTGTTTACAGATGGCCATATTTGGTACGGTTATGGTGCATTACTACAAAGCTGTCTTACCAGCTCTAACATACACAAACAGAAGCGGCTTTGTTTTTTGTGTGTGCTCTGAAATACCCAAAGGCATTCTCCAGCACGGCTCCAAACTCTGCTAATGCCATGCACATATATTTATCAGTAGCTGAGAGTTCGGCAAATGTCCTCAGAATATGAGCTCAGAATGTAGAAACATTTTATGCTCTATATAATACTGCATGTGTCTGAATTCCATCTCTCTGCAGCGCTTAAACCCGAGCAGTTTAAAGAGTGGCTGTACAGGAGAAGTTTAAAGGTATGCTGCTGCAAACCATCCTGTTCAGGCTTGTTTTCTGCAGGGTGGGTCAAAGAGGAAAACCTGTCTTAGTTCACTTAGCTTTCCCAGCACTTATCTAATGATTAAATTCACAATTGTCTACCCAAACTATTAAACTGGACTGATGCAGACAGTAATCTGCCTACTAATACATTAAAACCAGTTTACAAAAAGTAAAAGACCCAAAGTTTTGTTTTTTTATAAAAATAAAAAGTAATGAATTCACCAAAGTATCCTTGTAATTATTATCTTTGTGACTATTACATTTGTTTTAGGATCTAAAGAAATAACTTTCAACCACACAGGACACAATAACCCAGTCAAAATAACAGATATTTGCATTTTTCTTTTGTGTATTAATACACTTCTTTAAATTAATGCTTTTCTTTTTACCCGTCTCATCTGAAGTTGTCTCATTTGACTCTGGGTCCTCTTCTGAAGCATCCAGCTCTTTCACAAAATTAGATGGAAACAGTCCTGATTTGCCGTTTATGACACCGCTCCACCAGCCCTCTTCAATCTGTGAATACAGAATGTTGAGTTATACGACAGAGAAACATTTAATTTAAAAAAAAAGATGCATAGTAACTCCAAATCCTACAACTCTTCCTACAAATGTGAACTTTTTTTCCACTATCAGCCACATTTTGTTCTCTTAAGACATGATTATGCAGCATTCATTTTTAATTTTCACAAACTATCAAAAAGCTCTGTACATCTAAGATTTTCACAGGCTCTGATTTGTCAACTCAAAAAACCAACTATGCCATCATAACACTATATATCTTTTATGGAATTTGCCGTCTTATTCAGCATTAAAATTAGAAAAAATGTTTCAAAATTAAAAAATGTAAATAGAATTGTTAACACAATGTAGTTTTTTGTCTCAATCTTTAATGTTTACAGTTTACAGATCTCATCCATGTGCTAACAACATGTGAAGTTTAAATTACCTCCTCTGTTATGTCTAGGATGTCTCCAACTTTAAGCTCCAGTTCATCTTCATTTTGCGGTTGGTATCCAAACAGCACCTTGCACTGTCTCTTCTTCGGCTCTGTGTGGGGAAAACATAGTAAAAAAGACGACTCTCAAAAATCTGCATTTACGTCAGGATCAGGTGAAAGCGCGTTTCGTCTTAATTCCCAGAGACTGAGAGGAGAGACAGGTGAGAAAAGTCATTAAGGTGTAAATCCAGCATATGGGAGAGAGCCCCGCCCCACAGAGAACTCTGAGACTGCTCAGCAGGGTGATCCTGTAGGACAAAACGGACGCGCCCTGCTCAAAAGGCGAATGGAATATTCTGCAAACAAAAGGTCTTGATCACAGAAAGCTTTTTAAAAAAAGTTGAAGAAATAAGTACGGTAATACAGATCTAAAAACAATTTACAGCAGACCGAGCTCAGTTTGGAAAAGTTAGCTTATTGCCAGGGAATGGTTGAATGGAAATTTACCGTGAGTGTCCAAACCATGTGAGATGTCCATTGTTGACACAGGCCAGAAGGCAGGACTATTAGGCAAGACTAAATATTTGGTGAGGTATGTTGAGTCTGAAGAGTCACTAAAGAGTCATGGCGGGAAGTGTATTCAACTTAACTATCACAACGAAAAATTACTGAACATTTAATCTGATTAGATATTCGGCTGAAGCCTAAACTGCTTATTATCTGTGAATATGGTCATAACTCATTATGCTCAGTCAAACTTTCAACTTCTTGCCAAAATTAGCAGAGATACAGATCAACAGAAGGGTGTGGGGTTACAAAAAATCTATCTGTAATGCTGAACAGTAGTATTAACAGTATTTAAAGCTGCAGAGTGATGGTAGGTTTAATGTTTCCGGAGTTTGGTTCTGTATGGTGCAGTCAATGGAGGTTTTACCAAATACTACAGTGAGGCAGCCTACACAGTAGGCCTCAGTAGGCCTCTCTCCGCTTCCTCTGTCCTTCTCTCACTCTCTCTCTCTTGCCCTCTCTCCCTCTCACCCCCAACCGGCCGAGGCAGATGGCCGCCCACCCCGAGCCATGGTTCTGCTCCAGGTTTCTGCCTGTTAAAAGGAAGTTTTTCCTTGCCTGTGTCGCCTAGTGCTTGCTCTTGGTGGGAATTGTTGGGCTTATGTAATTAACTTCAGAGTAGGGTCTGACCTGCTCTGTTTGGAAAGCGCTGTGAGATAACTGTTTTTGAGATGTGGCGCTATATAAATAAAATTGAATTGAATTGACGTGTGCCCCATAATCATGTCAGATATCAATATGTTTAAATGCATTCTTAAACTTTCAGACCCGTTACAAACCTGTAGAATATCCATGACTTACTGACATGTTCAGCTATGACTGTGGTGCTGTTAGCATAGGGGGAAAACAGGTATTTCTATCTAACTGGAATATATGCAGTCTTGGAAAGACTCTTTCTAAGGTACTCTATTTTATTGGCTAAAATTAATGGCTTATAAGAACCATCACATTTGATTAAGCCCCCAGTTGAATGAAACGTACAATTTGTTGCTTAAATTTTTATTTGTGTTCTTAAATGAACTTTATCTTACCACATAAGACTGGCACAAATCACAATGTATTATAAATGCATTATAAATACAACTGCTTTACATATAATACAAGTAACATAGCTGACACTGAAGGACGTTATTCACAGGCTTGATTTCTGATCAATTTGTGAAACATGGCTAAATTAAATAAGAAATATGGGGGGTTTTAACAACCGTGAAATCACAAACTTCTATTGTTCTGTACGGGCTTTCATTTAGGAACTGAAGCATAAAAACAATAGCAAGTGGAGTGTCAAAATGTTTAAGCAAGACTGGACACAGTGGAGGAATGCCTCATTCATTCGAGTGAACGTGAAAAGACACGCAAGAGCCCACACAGAAGCAAGGAGTGAAGGCGTTTTTGAGTCTCTCATGGGTCACATACTCAATAATACTTTGTGTACCTTGATATCAAACGACAAATCGTGCCCACACACAGACACAACAAGCAGCCACTTACTCTTTGAAGCTGCCGGCGGCTGTGGAGGCTGGAAGCCCCCGGTGGGGATACCGATAATGCTCATCCTCTGGACCAGGTTGGCCACGTTACCCGCACTCTTCTCTCTCCTCTGGGACGGCGAGGCATCTTCTTTTGGCTCGCTTTTTGTGTCCTTTACTTCTTTGGAATCTTTTTTCAATTCCTACAAGGACAAACAAAAAACTGTGGTAAATGGTGGATATCTTTTCAATTCAATTCAATTCCATTTTTAATTCAATTTTATTCATATAGCGCCACATCACAACAACAGTTGTCTCACAGCGCTTTCCAAACAGAGCAGGTCAGACCCTACTCTGAAGTTAATTACAGAAACCCAACAATTCCCACCATGAGCAAGCACTAGGCGACACAGGCAAGGAAAAACTTCCTTTTAACATCTTCAAAACGCTGTTTAATATCAAGCAGGGGATGAATTAGAAACATAAAAAACATTTTTCCCCCCTAATAAATGTCCCAAAATTCAAATGTGAACGTGAAAAAAAAAACGCTGAATATGTCAGGGAAACACACTGTAATGACTAGTTCAGTGGAACAGGGACATATGACTGAAGGTTTATCGGTTTCTGGGGAAATGGAATGTAAAAATGTGGCGAAAAAAGTCAACATAGCGGTGAAAGTGCTGGTCAGTTGTCAGTGTAGCTTCTGCTAATAACTTGCTCAAAAGTCCCACGTTCAAGGAGGTAAACGGCTGCCGTAGATTCTCCAAAAACAACCGAGTCTACATCACTCCATCGCTTGTCAAAATCAGGAAGGGCACCGACGCTGGGGTCACTGACTGGGGTCCTGACTTAGGAAGAAAAATCTAAATGAAGCTGACTGAGACTTTTGTGGTATTTCTTAGCTTCAAGAATCATTTGGAAACCAAACAAACTTCCTGATTGAGACTTGAGCAGTTGCATTGTGATGTTAAACCTTTTTGTCAGGATGTTACACTTTCAACAGCATGTGTCAATATAATGTATCTGGGTTGAACACTTATTTTTTGATGGCGTAAAATCAAATCCTCAACAGCAAAAAGTTCTTTGTCCGAAGCAAAATTAAGATTGAGGCACTCCTGAATGTGCCAGTACTTCAAATAATGTCAAGTCAAAACACGATAAATAGCGGCGTTCAAATAAACACACGATCTGAGCCCTCCCACGGATGCCCTCTCTCAAAGCATATTTCACTCAAAAGCCTGTAAATTGTTCTGGATCTTAAGTCTTAGATGCTCCAAAACGACAGGAGACGCAGATGTTTACAGATTCCAGAGAGATTCTGTTTGAATTGTACCGAGAAAAAGCTGCAGTCCAGAGCGGGAAAGTTTCTCTCGGCCATTTATCTGCGCGATATGCCTAAGAAAATTATCTGAATGCAAATGACTAACACGCTCTAATCATGCTTTGCGTTATTCACACAGGTCACTACTAAGTTAAACTCTATGCAGACTGAGAGCTAAAACATCTGACTCCACAAGTTAAATGCCAAAAAAAAAGGGGGTCAGTTTTGTTCTTAACAATGAGGATACACGCAAAGTTCAGCCCCTCTGAGTCAGAATGGACAATGACCTGGTTCACAATCCGCTTCCTGGTTTATACATGCTGACTTTGTAATGCCAGAAGGGAGGAAGTCCAGCTCTGTGTGCGAGTGTGTGCGCATCGGCAGTAAGCTGGAATATGACTTGAGACCTGGTCCGCAGGTTTTGTGTTGCGTTTCCCTTCGTTGTACACACCTCGGGAAATCCCATGCATCGGAATATATGACACAGCAGACTCAAAACATTTACATTCAACTCGTAGAAAACGGCAACTGAAACTGCTTGGACCTGTGACCAGTGCTGACAGTCAGCCATTGTCCACCCTGCTTCTTCCTGGTAGGGTCGGGGGGGGGGGGCAGCCTAATGACATCCACTCCTAGGGCAACTTAAGGGTCTTCAATCAATCTAACGTGCATGTTTTTGGTCGGCGGGAGGACGCCAGAGTACCTGGGACACAATTCTTACTCACAGCTCTAGAGACATAGCTACTATATATATATATTCCCAGATTGTAAGGAGTGTGTTGCATAAAGAACTTTTAGCCAATAAATTCAGCTAAATAAACACTATGCTCTTCAGAGTCTTCAGTAAGGGTTGTTTTTAGAGAAATTACAAAGCAGAGGCAAACAAAAGAATGATTTTCACATCAATGCTATCGTGTCTAATCACAGGGTGATTATTATTTTCTTTTTCAAACTGAAAAATACAAAGGAGAAGAGGATAATGTGCGATAAAAACTCGCCATTAAACTTTAAATACAGCAACAATGAAAGTTATCCGCCGAACATTTCGCCAAATGCCAAATCACGCAGCGCTGCCAAACTTTAAATGGCAAAAAGAAAACATCTGAAATTCCAGTAATAGTTCATCTATATTGGAGTATGAACAAGTCATACTCCAACAAGTCATACTCCAACCAAACAAAGATCCAATACATTCCATTTCTTTTCCTCAGCCTGTGTTTTGCAAAACTTCTTTAGTCGTTGGATGAAAAGTTCAACGGAATGCCACAATATCCTCCCTTTTTTCTCTTCACCACCACACACTTACTTTTAGTCCTTCACTCTTTGCTAAATTTGTGGAACCAAAAAGTAAAAAGTAATTCAGTAAGTAAATTAAACATTTTCTTTGGACTGTCTATGCATCAAACACTTTAACCAGTTATACAATATTGTTTCATACTGCTCTGTTTTTTTACATTGCACAGCAACCACCATCTGTTATTTGCATTATATTTATTTGTTTTTTGCGCATGAGCCTTAATTTATAGTTTGTACTTATGCTCTTAATTTTTTCTTATACTGAGGCTTACTTTTATTTCTAATTTTTACTGTATTTTCTGGGAGCATGAGTGTAAAAAAATGTATTCTGTATTACAGAATTGACAATAAAGCTGACTTAAACTTTGAAATAAACCTATATCTTAAGGCTAATTCAGTGTTTGACGCAGAGTGGTCGGTCCGACTAGAAAAAGCACTATAAAAAAAGAGTCTACTATAAGTACAAGTCCATTTTACCATTAGTGTATAGGAGCTCCTGAGGCTAAAGGGTAAATCTATGTATGTCAATCTCTGGTGTTGCTGTTGGTCGATATTCCATTATGGTTTTCACAAAGTGCCATAACAGCAAAGATTGTTTTATTTTGAACCATCCATTGTCTGGCCCTGTTTAATCTAATTCAGACTAGGTAAGGGAGGAGGCGGATTTGAAAACTATACCAGTAACTTGGATCGTTTTTTTTTTTGTGGGGGTGGGTTGCATTTTCATTAAGTAGCAGCACCTGCAACCAGTTCAAATATATAATAATAATAATAATTTATAATATATAAATGGCTACACTCAGGCTACCACCATGGTTCAACACCGACAAGCAGCAAGTATATCAGTCATTCGTTTTTGTATTATGTTAGAGTTGCAAAAAATGGCACCACACGACTTTTGGGCTGTTTAAAATCTCATTTGTAATTGTCATTAAAACAAGCTGAGCAGAGTTAAGTCAAGTCAAATTCAAAAAGCGCTAATGGAAAAGTGTTCTCCCTGAAAAACATCTGCACATGTAGAACATACAAACTCCAAAAAGCGAGGTTCATTCCAGGAACCTTCGAGCCGGGAGGCATTAAAACTACAACAATTTGTGCAGGCCAACCCACCTCATCACACATATTGTTTATTTGCATTGATTTAATTGTTGAGTCACCATGTTATTGATTAATCACTGAAAGGTAGTTAGAAACTATAAGTGAAATTAAGACAAGCACCTGCAGCATAGACAACAAAAATGATAGCTATTTATCCCTTAGAGATGCATATGACTATAATTATTATTACCAATGAAATATGTGTGATCTATGTAACAATTATATACATTTAACTGTGTAATCAGAGGAAGTGCTTATTATTCATCGCTGTAATTGCTGTCACTATTTTCACTATCTTCTAAAAACATTTGCTATCGAGTTTATTCTGCAATCAAATTTCTCTATCCAATTTTCACATTACTAGCAGAATAAACTCTGAGTTTGGTATTTTGGTCATCAACTAGCAATTGAATTCAAAATCGTTTTATTCCTCCATCTCAGCAGAGTATTTTTTAAGGGTGTGTGAAGGAGTTGCACCGAGCTGTTAGCAGCCCGCGAGCTAAAATAAGCTGCCGCAACAGTTTCTGCCAAGAACGCTAACAGCTTCTGTTAACTGTTAACTGTCACTAAGACATTCGTGGTAAAAGGAGATCTGAGCATGACACTAATCTTTGTGGTAACGAAGTTTTTTGTTGGTTACAGATGATCGGTTTTTGGGGTGGACAGTAGCACATGTACCGCAGATATCAGGTTAATGGCTCTCATTCTGTTCCCTCTCTTTATACTTGCCCGTCTTCTTTTCCCTTTGTTCACCATCAACAGCAGATCAAACACAACTCATCAAATGCACAATTTGTTTCTTTAGTCACACAGTGAAACACTTCTCACTTAACCACTACAAGTGTCTGAAAAGATCAAATATCTCAAGTGACTCTAAAAATGCTTCAAAACTGTTTTAGGTTGAAACATTTGTGGTCAGTCAGGTTTGTTGCCACTGTGCCAGTCTTATTCGTACTATGATGTTCTGGACAAAAGGTTAGAAGTGGCACAATGTCCGACACGGTTCACAACCTTCTATCAGAGCGACAATGCTACTGAGGCACATCACATTCACATCCACCTTAAGCAAAAAGACGTTTCTACGCTGAGTCATGGACTTCACTTTAACGCATTTATACTGAATTTTGCTAGCAAAACTGGCATTTGTATGCTGTTTTTATGCTGTATCATAATATCTTTTTTTAATGTGCTATTCATCATGTGACAGATGGGAATATGGGGAGTGGCACTGTGTAAAAGTGTATTTACCAAGTGCTGAGAGCGCCATTTGTGAGACATGTATTCACTGCACACGTAATATGTTGCATATGTCGTTGGTGATTTACCATCACAGCATATTTCCCTGAACTCATCTGCATCCTTACACAAACAGATTGGTTGAAAGGCGAGAAATTCCCATCTCTTGGGAAATTTGGAACCTTTTAAGGGTAAATTTTCTTGATTCCCATCCCCGACTTG